ACTGAATGTCTAAATCACTGCAGAAGATATTAACAGGTAAAAGATAATAAAAGAACCCAAATTGATTAGGATCTTTTACCATTTATGATAACAACTTTAAATGCAAATTGCATTCAACTGCAAGAAGGGAAATAATGTCCCAAAGGCATTTCAATTAATTGCTGTAGTTAATTACACTCATAATTTTACTTGTGTGACTAATTATAATCAGGTTTTGTCGGTGTAGATGGATTTATTTCGGATACTAAAAGCCCCAAACAGCAGGTTATTTTTAGGAAATACTTCATGAAAACTGCATGTTCCCATTCTCAGCAGTTGGTTTGTGTCTGCTCAGGAGGAGTTTGGAGGAGATGAGGAAGGGAATGTTTCCCAGGCTGAGGAAGTCACTGTGGCCCTGCTGATGCTGCTCAGTTGCTCATGGTCCCAACTTTGGTGGCTTTTTATCCTGTGATGGGCAACAGAGTCCCTGATGATGGTCCCAAGGTGTCAGCCCATTCCAGAGGGGTCTGGAAAGGCACTGGAAGTGTCACTTTCCTTTTGGAAAACCTAATTTATATATGATTTTTCTCCTATATGGACCATTTCCCACAGCCACCTCTGAGTTAGCAGGACATTTGTTCCTCTGCCATTGCAGTGGCTTTAAATCCCAACTCCTTTTAGTGCTTCATGGAAAAAAAAAATTCAACAATTTCACCTCACGGAAGTTAAATCACTGATAGAGTTAAAAATCCAATTTTACTTCCATTTTAAAAAAAAAAGCTTCCCATCTCCAAGAGTAATAATTTCTCCTAGGATCATTGATGGAATAGACCCATTAAGGTTGGAAAGACCTCTAAAATCATTGAATTCAGTGGGAAATTTTGGGGTGGTGTTTGCTCCTGTGCCAGGCACAGCATCAGGCAACGTGTTCCTCTGTCTCTGGATTGGTGTCACACCTGGTATTAGCACATTGAACCCCAAAATTAGCCTGGGAAGCTCAGTAGACTTCCCTGTATCCTTTTTTTGGCTACAGGTGGATATTTCATATGGATTTGCTGCATGATATCTGTGGAATGGGAAAGCTGCTGGGGATGTTTTACCTGGATTTGCTCTATGACTTCTGTTCAATAAGTACTGGCAAATGCTGTTTGCCCTGTGAAATCCACTTTTGGATGGGCAGGGAAGGAAGGAGCAAAGCAAAAAGCTTTATCCTTTTCTCCCAGCAGTGATGGAAAATGAATTTTGTCCAGAAAAGTGCATTTTGAGCTGTGTTTGTCAAGGAGGAGCTGAAGGCACAATGAAGCCTCCAAGTTTGTCAGAATTCTCTGTGGGTAATGTAAATATGTTTCTTGTGAGTAATGCTTCAGTTTCCTTGTCTCTTTGTGCTTCCTGAGAAAATGTTTTGCTGAAAACATAATGTATCAGGAATTTTTTTTGATGCCTGCCCCTCCTGTCACCCTCTGCTCCCCTGGTGATTGTGAAGGAGCAATGTTGGCCTCGTGTTCACGTGGCAGATCTGCTCCTTCACCTCCCACAGCTCTGGACAGTGCTCTCAAGCCAAGGTGCAATCCAAATCTGATTTTTGGATGTGTTGCACAACCCCATGGAATCTCAGCTCGGTGTATTATTAAAATCAGGGAGGATCTGCTGGTCCAGGGAGTCCTTGGGTGCTGCTCAGTGCAGGAATGGGCACAGGTACAACCCCAAACCAAAGTGCAAACTGCTTCCAAAGGACAGAGCTCATAAGCAAAGCTCTATCCAGACCCTGATAATCTCCCAGAGGTTTTGGTCTTTGCACTCCTGGGCACAGTCACTTCACACATCTGGTTTGCTGCAAGCCAAATGCTGCTCTACCTCCAACTTGATTCAGATTGATGAAACCCCTGCCTAATTTTTTTTTTAGTTTTAAACCCAAAACTTACATCTCTAGTGGGTTTAGTTTCCAGTGTGCTTTCATTTTTCTCTTGGACTCCAGTTTTCACCCCCAGAAGATTAGTTGTCAACTCAGGCTCTTAACATATGTGAAATATATTAGTGAAGTTCTATGCTTAACTTTTCTGTACATGGGAAAATCATGTTCTTTCTGGATCCTTCTAAATACCTCTGTTCCTTCCCCCACCCTTTCCTGTATTATCACAGCTTGGCTAGTTGTCCTGCAGGAGTTACTGTTGTTTCCTAGTGTCTTCATAATATACAGAGTTTCCTGCCAGACATAGCATAGACAACATTCCTGACAATCAGCACCTGAACCTACCTGTGGACCAGCAAATTGCTTTTCCATAACTATCTTCACAAAAGCAAATCAAATGTCCTACTTAGAGCCTTCCTGTCTTTTACTGCTGGTTAAATGGGGATTGGCTGTTAGTCACTGCTCTAATGCTGGTCCTGTCACTGTCACGTCCTGCCCAGGACAGAATGGGTCACCTGAGTGCACATCCAGCAAAGGACAGGCTGAACTGGATCACTCTCACAGGTGCAGATTGTAGCAATTCCCTTTTCCTCATTGCCACAACATCCCTGAGTAAAAATAGTGATGTCTAGCCAGATCTTATCAGCACTTAGAGAGGACTGACCTTCATTTCGGCACATTTTTTTTTTCATCCTCTTAGCTCTGCTTTAATATATTTCATAGTAAATAAGATCTTTCCACATCGTAATTCATTACTGTAAAGGCTGCTCTGTAAATACATGGTAAACTGAGGCACAGCCTAGTGCAAAGTTGCCCTTGTGGTTTATCATTTGTCACTAGCAATAAATGACTTGGGTCCTCCATAGTTTCTTCCAATCATCCTTTGCAGAGCTGCCTAGGAAATGGGAATCAGTGGATTAAGGCTGAAAGGAGAGGGATGGTGTGCACTGATACATCTCTGTTAGTGCAAAAGGCCCAGTGAGGAGTGTTTCCATCCCTGCCCTTTAAAACAGGAGCTCCCAATCCTGCAGGACTTCTGTGCCTTGGACTACATTGCTTGTGAGTCTTGGAACAGGACCAAACCTGAGCCTTTCAGAATATTCCATTTGTTATGTCTTGTGCAGGCAAACAAAGCACCTTTCTGCCTGATCTCTTGCTGCTTTCTCTGCTTGGGATGTAATGGAAACAGCTAAGAGGGAGAAGTTCAGCAGATGGGTGAGCACACAGCTGTTAGCCTGCATAACTCACTGTCCATGTGTTTTTGTGCAGAGGTGAAGCTTCCCTGAGTAGATCCATAGCATCCTTTGGTGTCAGCATCCTCTCCCTGCTGGGCTGGGTGTGTGCCCCAGCTCTGCACTCCTGGCTGAAGTGCCATGCTCAGAGCAGTTTTGCTACGTGCAGAATAACCCAGATGATGTGAAATAAATCTCCAGAATGCTGCTGACACTAGAAACAGCCCCAGGTACTGCAAATCCCTTCCTGCCCACCCCATAAACCCAAACCCAACCCTAAATATTGTGAAGAAAACAGGGGAGTAAAAAGTCACATTCCTGTTCTGGAAGAACTTGTGGATTCCCCTTCAGCAAGGACGAGAGAAATGAAAACTCACAGCAATTAAATGATAGGTCTCTGTTCAACTTTAATCTTTCGTTTATGTTTGCTCCTCAAAAGGTTTTCAGTTAAAAATACAATTGAAGTCTTGATCATTCCTCTAAACTTGAAAAGGTGGATTTGCTTTCCCATGTGTATTCTTTAAGGCTTATTTTATTGATGGATAAATACGAAAATAATTCCCCCTCCCTCCCTGTGTTTTCTCCTGTAGTTACTCTCACTGCCAGGATTCCCCTGAAAATGGCCATAAAACTGTAGTATAAAGTCATCCCTGCAAACATTGCCCTAAAAATACGAATCTGCTGATATGAAATCCTATTGTGGTATGGCCAAACTCTAAAATTCTAAAAGAAGCTGTAACATGTGATATGTGGCATTAGCCAAAGAGAAATGTTCTGTCTGCAGAGAGGCAACTGGAATAACAAGAGGAAATCCCATTTCCCAATACATTGGGGGTTTCTCCAGGTAATTGGGTAAGATCTGAAGGAATCAGTTCAAATCAATCTTTTTGGAAAAAAATAGGAATCTTAACTCTATGTGAATATTGCAGCTGTTATTATAAAAATTATATATATATATATGTATATAAAAGGAAAGTTCACACTGAAGTGTTCACACTAACATTAAAAACCTCTAACCTGTGCTAGTGGAGAGACATATTCCTTGAGCTGTCCCATTTTATTAGGCAAATAAAAAAGATAAAGGGTGATCAGAGTCTCATGCTTCCAATGCATCCCTCCAAAGAGAGGGAATTTCCCCAGATGTGCCACTGGTGCTCAGGGATGAACCTCCCTCTCCCCCTCTAGCACATCATATCCCAGAGAAGGATGCTGAATAAATACTAGGGAAATCTGATGGCCACAGCCAGGAGATTAGGTGAAAGGAATCAGTGTCCTTATCTAAAATGAACTTCAGGGTTCTGAAGGCAGAAGGGAGATGTTGTGTTGGTGCAGGTGAGATTTGTCACGTATCCTTCCCTAGAGGGGATGACCCAGATGTTGTTCCATTGTTTGTGAGCATTTTTTCTTTGCTCTGTATTGTACCTTTGGGTAGGACAGTGGGGAATTATAGGAATTACTCCCCTGATTTGCAGTGTTGAATGTAAACATACTCCAAACAAACCCCTTCATAGGCACTTAGGAACAGATTCATCTTGAAGGTCCTCGGGCAAGTGTCCTTCCAGTGCTGTGTTCAAACTACTTGCAGATGATCCATCCTAATGTTTTCTTTAAATGTTTTGGTTTGTTTCGATCTGAATCCTCATTGCTTTATCTGACAGATCCTTTTCTGGTGGTTGAGTGCACTGAGTGTCATTTCATGGAAGAGCAGCACAGAAGTCTTTGGTTAGTGTCTGGAGCAGGTTAAACTCTGGTTTTGAGATATGATCCATGAGTTGGTAGTTAGATTATTTGATACAAAGAACCAACAACAGCAACAATAATGGCAAAAACAACCACACACATTCCAAACAGACCAGAGTGTTGAATGAGGTGAGGAATGTTCACTGGGAGAGGGAGCTGAGGATGTATGTGAGAGGGAGGACCAGCACGGAGAGCGTCGCCGTGGGCAGGAGGACAGTGGAGCTGGACCAGTACACCTTGCGCTCGTACAGGAGCTGAGCTGGCCTGAAATTGTCAGTCATGGGGGTTGAGTTCTTCCCATCAAAGTGGAGTGCTGCAAACTGAGCAATCTGCAGGTGTGGAAGAAAAGAATAGCTTGGTTAAATCCTTTTTTTTTCCACCCTACGCTGGGGATTGCGGCGTTACAAATCTGCGACGCCTCGCTCTGGTTTTTGATGTGTGTGGATGCATTAAAGCTTGCAGGAAACACTGTGACAGAGGCCACTGCCAGAGGTCACCAACAGATGAATTCTTTCAGCCTTGGAAATCATGGGGACTTCCTTTCTGTGGGAGCCAAATGCTTTGTCCAGCTCAAGGTCCTGCTTACCCCAGTCCTGACGCACGCGGGGCCGTGCTGGTCCGTCATGTCACAGTGACACGAGGTAGGAGGACAAGGATTTCTGGCTTGGCTTTGTTTTTATCTGCACTGTGTGATGCTGAGCACTGCCCTGTGACTGAGGGGACTCAGGAGCTAAAATACAGACACTGGCTCTGAGCCAGGCTGTGCAATCTCTGGTCAATCCCTGTTCTCCAGGCACTTGTGAGTCAGTCTCCTGTTCCTCTCTGCAGGACAGAAATGAGCTGCTTACAGCTGATGCTGATGGACTCAAAGCTTGGATTGTGAATTATTCTGGTCTCCTGACAGTGGGGGAAGAGCTGTGAATTTTGAGTGAGCAGGTGAGAGCAGTGGAAGTGCTGCTGACGAAGTGCTGAGCTAGGCAATTACCTGTGGGGTTTTCTTGGCTTTCTCTTCACGTCGTCATTTCCCCTTCCTTCCCCTTTCCTGCCATTTGCTGAGATGATTTAACAGGGTCAATCACTGGCACTAGGGAGTAGATCTAGGCTGATGCCAAGGGAGTGTGTGTGGCAGGGACTGGGCAGTGGAGCAGCTGATGGGGGAGGACAGCCAGCCAAAGGGGGAATCACCACAAACAGACCCTCCAGTCTGTCCTCTGTGCCTCACCTGGGTCTGACTGAGCTCAATTGGCTTCTCAAATATTGTCCAGATGACTCCCTCGTGGCAGTCAGGTGTGGTGAGAGACCCCTCATACCGATAGTACTTCCCAAGCTCTTCCTCAGGTGGGAGAAGGGACCTCAGTGGCAAAGGATCAATCTTTGCTGCTTCCCCTGGACAAAACACGAGGAAATATTGCTTGGAACACGTGTGGCTGCAGGTTTTGTTCACATTTATCTTCCACACACCCCTCAATGCCAGGGCAAGCCACCCCACAAACCTCATGAAATCCCTGGCACAAGTGTCTTACCTTTGTATTTAATATTCTTTAATTCACTTAACAGAGTTGCATAGTTTGGATTTTCTTCTTCAATCTGAAAGGGAAAGGTTTTGATTCCAGGTCATTTATTTCTCAACAACTCATCACTTTAAAGCAATTGTGGCTAAAGCAAAAAGAACCACAAGGCTAAAAGGTAACAGGTTCTAGAACCAAGTGCTGGTAGAATGTGGAAGATAGGGAGGCTTAGCTCTGGGGCTGCTGTAATATTGACATAAACAGTCACTGAGCCAAACCAGTGGTAGATTTGAGATGAGCAAGTCCAAATTTGGCTACTTACCTTTATAAAGAAGGCTAAGACAGCCAATCCATCCGTGTTCTTCTTGGCCTCCGCTAGATCTGAAAGATCTTCTCTTATGTGCACCAGGTGAAGCTGTAACACAATAGCCAAGGCCAATTATTTGCTCATTTTCCTCTACAATTGGTTGTTGTGAGTGTGGCTTCTCCATCCCTTCACTGTCACGGGGCTGGAGCTCCTCAAGGCTCTCAAACTGGGGACAGGAATCTCGAGGCTCTCAACCTGGAGCAGGAATTATGCAGTAAATGGGCTAAAATTTGGAGCTGCTCTCATCATTGCTGATGAATGGACATGGTGGGATTTGATTAGAGGTTGGACTTGATGATCTTGGAGGTCTTTTCTGGCGTTAATGATTCTATGGCTCAATTTCATGCTCCTCCCCAGGAGGTGAAGGACTCTGTGGCTGTTCCACTGCCCTCACTTAGCCTGTGCAGTGGAACAGGTTTTTTTGTGGTGTTTTGGGAGGGGGATGGTTCTCTTCCACCAGTCCATGTGTTTCAGCACCAGTGACCTGCCTTGCCTTGAAGAGAATATATTTTTTGGTTGCATAGGTCAGTTCATGGTTGCAGCCCAAGAATCATAGAATTTTAGGGGTTGGGATGGACTTTAGAGATCATCCAGTCCCAACCCCTGAATACCTAAAAACAAGCAGTGGCAGAGTGATGTACCACTGAGCTCCCAAAGAGAGAACTCGTGTTTAACATGCTGAGCATGTAATCAGCCTGTGTAGACTTTCAAACATTCCTCATCCCAAAGGGCTGTGTGATTCCAGATTTGGTGTGTGCTCTGTGCTTTCCTGTGTGTCCTTAGTGAGCAACGTGTCCTTGGCTCTATATTTTCACTGTCAGCCTTGTATGGAAGAACTAGCCAACAGTTTTTGTCAGCAAATTCTAAAGAGTCAGAGCTGTGGGGTGAAACCATGACCCCCAGCAGTCTCACCTACCTCCATGGCATGTTTCTCTCCATCTATGCTGTGCTCCGAGCCAGGGATGCATTGCAGGACATCAGGCACTCCCCAGTGCAAATGGAATTCTACTGCCTTGTATTTCCTTCTCAGACCTCCACCTCCGACTTTAGGGGATGTTTTTAGTGTTACCTTAACTGGGGAATACACAGAAGTTGGTTCAAAGAAAAAAAATTAAATCAGGTTATTAATGGTACGTGAGAGTAGAGAGGTGTGTCCTTGAAATTCAGATTTCTCCTAATGTTCTGGCTTGGTTTCCATACTGAGTGTTCCAGAAATTCAGCTCTGCAGAAACTGAAGTCTTGCAGAGTCATAGCTGAGTTTAATTTGAAATGAATTATGACCATCATGACCTCAGAAGTCAGAGCCTCTTATACCTTTCAGAAGATCCTTGACCATCATGACCTCAGAAGTCAGAGCTTCTTATACCTTTCAGAAGGTCCTATATTCCTTTTTTTTTTTTTGGTCTAGGACAAAGTATTCTTGAAAGTAAATTTGCTGATGGTTTATTTGGGTTTCAACCATCATCTTAATCTCCTATTATCTGCACTGCTCCTTGTCTTTTAGGCAGGATTTAAAGACATTCTGGTTTCATTTAGGGTAGTGCTGCAATTTAAGCCTAAGCATCCAAGTCATTATATCTGTTTCATGTGATGTTTGATCTGTTTTTAACAACAAACCCCAATTTTCTTATGAGATCTTTTTCTAGCTGGACATCACCATCACTTCCTGTGACTTTTTGAGGTACATTTTGAAATTTTACTTGTTAAGGACCTCTCCATTAAGCACTTTTCTTTCCATAGGGAAGATTTTTTGGCTTGCAGCCCCAGAGATTTCATTTCTCTTCTGAATTCCAAATGAACTCGAAGCTTGCATGAATCATTTAGTTCCTTTGCTTTTTTATCTGGAAATGGATGAGTCACATCTTTGTGGGCTCTGTTCAGCTCCTAGGACCTTTGAGACACCGACCTTTCCTGCCTGCCTGTCAGCAAACATAAAGATAGTCTAATCTCACCTAATTGCAGCTGGAATTTAAGCAAGAACTGGCCTCATTTAGCACAGGAATTGGTTGCCCTCAGAAAGAAGAAATTTGAAAAACCCAGATTAATCCCCTAATCCTTATGCATGGCTGGGGAAGAGGAGAGTTCTGAGCAATCCTTGTGAATGTTAATGTTCGTGTAAAGGCACTGTAAAATGGACATTCTTGAGTAGCAATCTCTAATGGGCAAGTCATTAGCCCATGTATTAGTGAAGAGTCAAAAAATGCCTTTTTCTGCACAGTTCTGTCACAACACTGATGTTTTAAACCAGAATCTGTGGCTGTGAACACCTCCCCAGCTCTACCTTCCCCTCCAAGTCAGGGAATATTTGCCACTTGCCACTTTCTGCCTGAAGGATTTGGCAGTTAATGAAGATTTGAAGAACACCACGAGATAATTTAAAAAAGAAAATAGGCCACAGATTTCTTTTGAAAGTTGAACTAATAGAACCTAATTTTGTTGAAGCATCATTATCTCTATTGCTCTTAGTGAAGAACAGTGGAGGAAGTGAAACAGTTTTAAATTGCTCTTCACTGATTCACTCCTTACTGAATCAGTAGCTTATCAACACAGATTAGATTACTACTGTGTGCAGGGAAAACAGGTTTAGATCTGGGGAGGTTTCAGCTCATGATTAGAAGAGTAATAAGACACACAGACACTCCGTGAGCCACTGGTGGAATGACCTTCCCAGGTGATGTTTTTCTTCAGCAGAAGACTTTGTGCAGAAAAAGTCAGAAAGCCCAGAAATGAAGGATTTAAGAGCATTCAATTAGTGAAATCCCAGAATGACATATTTGGCAGTACTTGCCTGTATGTCCATTATTTTCTATGTCCCACTTTTCAGAGCCCTTCACATCATATCCTTCAAAAGTCAGTGGCTTCAGGCTCCTGTCATAAATGACATTCCTGGTGACAATGTTGATAGGTGACTGTTTGTTTCCTTTGCACGTGGCATCTATGAGATGCCATCGCTGAGGATCTGTTGGAGGATGAGGAAAATACTGGGTTTAATGTAGGCAGCAAATCCTTAGTAAAGCCAAACCACCCAACCAATATATTCTTGCTAGGGAAATTGAGGAATCATCCCAACTTGTTTCCTCTGAAGCACATTTGGAGTTATCTTTGTGTTTGTGGCATTATACTTGATTAAAACAAAGTGAACAGTGACCACAGTCACTGATACCTCCCAAATCTCCTCCCTCAGGTGTCCTGTTTGGCACTGACATGTACAGATCAAACTCTGAGTAGTGTGAATTATTTCTATCAGGACAGGAGAATCACTGGTGTGACTGGAAAACCCAAACTGGTCAGCAATACCTTCACACTGTGGCTGCTCACACTTCTGGGACTGATAGCACCAGTGGCTTCCCACTGCAAGAAGAAAGAAAAACATCAGGTGAGTGAAGAGCTGTGCAAATGAACAGCCCAAAAAGCAGCAGTGAAGTGGGTTGGGATCCTCAGGGTGATGACTGGACACTAAGTTTTGACAACTTCTTGGTTTGTGCTTCTCCTTTTCAGGAATTTCATCCCACCCCAGCAGGGTAAGATGTTTCATTCCTCCAATGGGTGAACAGGTGGCTGGCAGAGGTCAGTGCTTCAACTGCAAATAAATCTAGTTGCTAAAGATGCCTTAGAGTGTTGATACCCAGAAGCAGACTGAAAGCAGGAATTGAACAGTTAAAGCTGAAAGCATAAAATATAACTTTACTAATAGTACTATTTCAGCTTAATTTGCAAGACAGCAAGGATTGCACAGTACAGATAAAAAGCTGCACTAATGGTATTGTTTTGGCTTGGTTGGTGAAACGATGCACCTTGTCTATAAGACAGTAGAACTAACTAGACTCAAATCTTGGCAGTGGAAGGAAAACTAAGACCATGTGGAGTGTGGAATAAAGAAACAAAATGTTCAAGATAGAGGCCAGGTCAGCAAGGCATGCAAAACTGTCCAAAGGGGTAAATGGTTGCACAATAAGGGTGTCCAAAGGGCACTGAGGAAGAGGAGGAGCTTCATCTTCACAACCACCAAACGACCACCAGGACCATGGGACTGATGCCAGGAGGGAGGAGATGGAGGAGGAGTATATGCTAATGATTTCTGAGAACTAGTTCTAATAAGAACCATCCATTCCTGGAAATAATGAACATCTATGAGCATCTAATGTATAGAAACTGTGCAGGTTTTGTCCCTGGTTATCCCCCTTGTGCCCAGCACTGAATAAACAAATCCCTGCTCCTCAGAGATACAAGGCTGGGAGTAATTCTTTTCCAGCCTTTTCTTGGCATCAGTGTGGAGCACGTGAGCAAGTCCAGTTGGGTTCTGTGGTCAAACGATTCAGAAGAGGATAAACCCTCAGTAGGCAGCTCTAGGTCTCCTCCTGCTCTTCAGTGAGTACCTGATGTTCCCCCTCAAGCAGTGCTAGCAGCAACCACTAGAGCTCTGGGTTGTTAGGGCTCTGGATGAGTTGCAGTTGTAAATAATCTGATTTTCACACCTTGGCCTCAGCAACTCCTTGAGGCAAAAGTTCCACGCCCAAGTACACGTAGAGTTAAAATAAATTTCCTTACATCACTTCTGCACTCACCAACCTTTCATAGATTTGTAAATTCACTTATGCAAGAGGACTTACCTCACTCTGTTCCAGGAACTATTTTAAAGCTTACTTGGTGGGATAAGAATTTTAAGAAGCAAAGGATTTCACTTCCTGGAACACCTGAAGGATCTTTTGCCTCACTCAGCTGGGATCCATCCCACGAGTTTTATCAACAGAACATCTTAATTTGACTTTTTCATCGTCAGGAGCAATATGAAATTTGGAGGGAAGGAGCAGATTTAACTCAAGTATGTGTTGGTTTGTTTACCTCAGGATGCCTCAGTGGCTCTTGGTGAGAGTTCTAAACTTTAAATGGACAGGAATATTTTAACAAGAATAGTTCTCTTTGCCTAGTTCACTTTCATCCATAACAACTCGAAACCACTCCTAATCATGATTAATACTGCAGCTCCTCTTTGCTTATGATGAGCAAATTATAGACATTTTAATAATGGCTAATCAATTTTAAGGATTATTACAGACGAGTCCTGTCATTAGGTTGCTAATTACCTTAATTGTAATTTATAACACACCTGCTGGAAGCCTCATAATGGCTTTTAACACCTTTTTCTTGATCTACTGATAGCAGTGCATCCTTCCATTAAGGGTTTAGGAGTTATAAATAGAGCCTTGTAACACAGACTGAGACAATCAATATAACCTTGAAAAAAATGACAGTTGTGGTTTTCCTTTCACAAAAACTAAATTTCTGCTGAAAACTACCAATAATGTTGACTCAGTTTCCAGTTTAGCAAGTGTTTAGTGATGTTGAGAACAAAAGTAAACACCAGTGTTGGTTTGTCTTGAAGAACCAAAGGGATTTCTGTGTTGTTGTTCCATTAATGTTTTGTCATTAGCCAAAAATTGGTTTTGACAAGGCCTTTTTTTTTTTTTCTTTTGACAGGCTTCCAAACACACACAATATTTAGCTCTCTAAAATTGATCTTTGCTTTTTTTTGGTTTTTTTCAGGCCTGTGTACACAAGACAGTGGCCTGACCTCCAGCATTTCCTCATCCCCTCTGGGACAGAACCACCAGTGCCAAGCACAGAATGTCACCAAGCGCCTTAATCAATAGTTTCATCAATAAATGCCTAAAGAATACCAGGTAAGCTGATGCCCACACTGCTTGGCTCTGGTGCATGTGTTAGTGTTTGTGTGGATGGATGACTTCAGGCATATTTTTGGCAGCTGCTCTAGCTCAGTGGTCAATCTGTGCTCAAACAATTCCTCACCAGCACCATGAGATTGGTGGTTTTTGGTGATTTATGCATGGACAAACCTCCAGGAGAGAGAAATGCTGCACAGCATCACTAACCTGGAGGTGAGAGGATGGTTCCCTGCAAAGCTTTGCTCTCAGACTCTTTGGGATGTGAGTTGAAGCGGAGAGGGAAATTGTCAGGTGAGAACTCAAGGTCAGTTGAGGTATTCTGGTGTGTTTACCATACACTCCTGGAACAAGGGCTACTGCTCTGGGTTTGCACAGTGCCTTGCACAATGGCACTGTGAGACATCAAAGCTTTGCTGCAATGCAAATCCAATTTTCTGGTCAAAGTGGTGCACAATCAGGAGTAAGTGCAGCAAGCTCAAAGTTGTGGAGCTTTTAGACCTAGAACTATAAAAATCAGAGGCAATTACAGGAAACACCAAGGGAAGGGAAATAGTACCAAATCAGCTTGGTGGTGGTCCTGAATCAGTGTCTCTGCCACCAAATATGTTAGTGTCCAGTGTTCATAAGCTTTCCACTGAACTCCTGATATCTATGAGCAAACAAAGAATCTGTTTTCTCTTCAGTCCTTATCATAGTTATGGTTTGGAGAGCTGGATGGTATCAGTGAAGTAGAACAGGTTATAAATTCATCATTTCGTAAGAAACATGTCCTTAAAGAGGTTAAACCTCGAACAATGAGCTAATTAAACACTACAGAATGACTGAGCAAACAGTGTATCAATGTTTATGGTGAATTAGATAACTTCTTTGCTGGCAGCAATGGAAAATTAGAGAACAGGATCTCTTGTGTAGATACAGCTCAGGAGGAGCCACTCTGCGTTTCCCTGAGCCACTTGGAAGGAATATTTGCATTTGGATTTTGCCCCAGTCAGGTGTGATTCCTCCCTAGGAATGGGGACATTGTATTACAGTGGCTCTTTTCTCCCCTGAGCTTTATTAGGGCTGCATTGCTGAGGCAAGAAGGGAAGGCACTTGTGCCATCCAGTCAGTTGTCTGTGGTTTTAGGCATGATTATGCCCTGAGGTATGTTGCCTAGTCTAGTTTTAATTGTCTGAGCGGCTCCTGCCACTTCCCTTAGGAGACTTTTCCACAGTCTATTAGCCTTCACTGTCAGGAAATGTTTCCTGTTTTATAGTTTACATTTTCCACTTGCTTATCTGCATCCCATCACTCCTAGAAATATCACTGAACCGCCCTAAACAATTCTTTTCCCTGCCTGGTGTTTACAGCAGTCAAATAGTTCCTTCATAATCTGTAATTCCTGTTCTTGCTTCATCCATCCTTTGTCCCATCTCCTGACAACATGCCCTTCACCTTCCCACATTTCCACTTCCAAATCTCTTTCTCTGACCCCCTTTCTTACAGGGCTTGGTACCCATCACTCCATACCCTGCACTGCTCTCACTTGGCTGCGCTTTCAATCCAACTCAGGTCCCACATTCTCTTTCCTGTTGTTATTTTATTGCCTGGAAAAATGCAGCAGAAAGTGGATTTTTCAGTGCTTTAGGGGGTTGGTTTGTTTGCTGGTTTTTTTTGCAGGGGTAGATATAGATACAGACACACACCTGGACTTACAATGACTCTATTATCAACTGTATGAGGCTCTAATGTTGTATTGTGGATTCTTGGTGATGTCCCACAGCATATGTGCCACAGTGACTTCACTGGGTTTAATTTAGAGCAGGGCTGAACTGTGCTGAAGGCCTCCTCTTCCTCCAGAAAGTTCAGGACAGTTAAATTTAGGGAGTCTCTCTTGGCAACTGCACAGTCCTACTTATCTCTGTTTCTTCCTTGTCAAATTTACAACTGGTTTCCTGCCCAAAGCTGTTTCTTGGCACCAGGATTGCTGGAAAACAATACAATTACGTATTGTTTTCATTTCATTGTAAACGTTTTTGGATTGTTTTAGCTATCAAGCCTGGTTTGGAAGCTGGAGGCAGAAAATTTCTTCAGTTGAGAACTCCCTCTCCTGTTCACTTAGGGGCTGGAGGAGGACAGTGCAGCTGGCTGGGAGCCAGGCTGGGAGCAGCTTGCCAAGGTGCTATTGTGTGATCTAGGAAAAGACCCTTCAGCTCTTTGGCCCATGCTCACATTGCCTGAATTCCAGAAAAGCTCCTAAATCTACTTTGTCCTACTTGTTCCCTGCTTGCTGCCCTACTTGGACCTGTGGAGCTGCTGTTGGAAGCCCAAAGTCCTGTGAGTCAGGGACAGGTGCTGTCCAGGCTGGCTGAAAATGCCCTTTTCACTTGTCCATTCACACAAAAGAATCCCTAAACCAGGTGGTTTTTTTCTTTTTGTGCATAAAGTGGCTGAAATGATGAATTCCATCTCTTTACAGCTATTTTTATTGGCTGTATTTAACCTCTTGGATGACCTTTATGCCACCAGCAGCCTGAAGCACTGACAGCAAGAATATCCTGTGTTGTTCTTCAGTTCAAATCCCTTCTCGCTTTCACTGACTGACTCCTTTGTTTGTCCCTTTAGCTCTTGTCACCCTTTCAGCCACGTCCCTGCTGACCATCCCTTGTTCTCTGGGACACAGCTCAG